ACACTGAAGATGGGTCATGGATGGGTCTTCCAGCATGACAATGACCCGAAACATACCGCCAAGACAACAAAGGAGTGGCTCAAGAAGAAGTACATTAAGGTCATGAAGTGGCCTAGCCAGTCTCCAGACCTCGATCCCATGGAAAATCTGTGGAGGGAGCTGAAATTTCGAGTTGCCAAATGACAGCCAAGAAACCTCAAGGATTTAGAGAGGATCTGTAAAGAGGAGTGGATCAAAATCCCTCCTGAGATGTGTGCAAACCTGGTGACCAACTACAAAAAACGCCTTACCTCTGTGCTTGCCAACAAGGGTTTCAGCACCAAGCACTAAGTCATGTTTTGTTTGGGGATCAAATACTTATTTCACTCACTGAAATGCAAATCAATTTCTAACCTTTATATAATGTTTTTTTTCTGAATTTTTTGGTTTCTATACGTTAAAATAAACCTACCATAAAAATTACAGACCCTTCATTTCTTTGCAAGTGGGCAAACTTACAAAATCAGCAGGGGATCAAATAAATATTTTCCCCACTGTATAATACATTTATATAAGAAACATAATAATAAATGTATATAAACAAGTATAAATGGTACATAAATACATTTTAAAAGGAAAAAAAAATGTTAACACTTTATGTTAAGGTGTCCTTGTTACACGTTACATGTACTAACTATTATAATAACAATAAATTATGCATAATAACATGCAAGTAACACTAAGCCAAACCCTAACCATATAGTAAGTACATGCAGTTAATTAATATTACTCAGTACTTGAATGTATAATTACACTGTAACAAGGACACCTTAAAATAAAGTGTAACCAAAAAAGTATATATGTATCATTACACACATATACATATATAGTAAAAAAAAAAAAACATTACACTAGACACTAACACTAGAATAAATTGTTCACAATTTTTTTTTTTTTGGTTGACAGGGTTTACATTTAATTGTGTACAATTAAAAAGTGAACATTTCCTTGATTTAATAAAAAAAAAAAAAAAAAAAAAAAAAAAAAAAAA